GACTTAACTTTGTTGGATTTTGTTACCTGGATTATTGAGCATGAACTTTGATAAGCAATAATAAGTTTTATAGCCGAGGGCAGACAATCCAGCACCCATATACCATACCATACCATACCAATTTATTTATATAGCACTTAAAACAGCAACAAGGCCAACCAAAGTGCTGTACAAAAGAACCAAACATGCACAGCAGACAGGAAAACATAAAATAGAAATACAGATACAAATAGCAGCAGAAGCTAACTAAAATGGCCAACAGAGTAGAGAACAGACCGGACCAAAACAAATCACACCGTGTTAAAGGCAAGCGAATAGAAGTGGGTCTTCAAGCGAGACTTAAAGACTGAGAGTGTGGGAGCCTGCCGGACACTCAGTGGCAACTCATTCCACAGTCGTGGACCTGCAACAGAGAAAGCCCTGTCACCTCTGAGCTTACGACGGGTTTCTGGAACTGAGAGAAGCATCTGGTCTGCTGACCTCAGAGAGCGCGGTGGGACATATGGCTGCAGAAGATCAGTGAGATAGGATGGGGCGGAACTGTTCAGTGATTTAAAAACATACATGAGAATTTTGAAATGGATCCGAAGGTGAATGGGTAGCCAGTGCAGGGAGGCCAAAACTGGCGTGATGTGCTCTCTATAGCCTGTACCAGTTAAAAATCGGGCTGCAGCATTTTGGACCAGTTGTAGACGAGCAATGGAGGACTGACTGATTCCAAACAGAAGTGAATTGCAGTAATCAAGCCTAGATGTTATGAAGGCGTGGATCACTGTCTCAAGGTTCTTTTTGGAGAGTATAGGCTTCAGCTTAGACAGCCGTCTCAGCTGAAAAAAACAGGATTTGACCATCATGTTTACGTGACTGTTGAGTTTTAAGGACGGGTCCATTATCACCCCCAGATTAGTCACCTTTTGTTTCTCTAGCGGGGCTAGAGAGAAAAGGTCAATGTCATGGTTCATGAGTGAGCCACTGGGATGGAACAGCATGACTTCAGACTTCTTCTCATTGAAGCTTAAGAAGGTTAAAGCCATCCAGTTCCGGATGTCAGCCAGGCAGTCAAGAAGAGGCTGAATAGAGCGTGTGCCTCTGTGCCTCAGGGGGAAGTAAATTTGTCAATCATCGGCGTAGAAATGAAAGGGTATGTCGTGTTTACGGAAGATAGCACCTAGTGGCAGCAGGTATAAAGAAAAGAGAAGGGGACCGAGGATGGACCCCTGCGGTACCCCCCACTGGAGTGCGGTCGATGCCGAACTAAAATCTTTGATATTGACACAGAAGGTTCTGTCAGAGAGGTAGGACCCAAACCATTTAAGGGCTGACCCTGTGATGCCCACCCACTGCTCCAGTCTAGAAATGAGGATATTGTGGTCGATGGTGTCAAAAGCAGATGTAAGGTCCAATAGGACAAGCAGCACAGAATCACCTGCGTCTGTGGAAATGAAAATGTCATTAAAAACCTTCAGTAGAGCAGTTTCAGTGCTACGGAGAGATTTGAAGCCAGATTGGAATAACTCAAGGATAGCGTGATCCCCCAAAAACTGTTTCAACTGAGACTCCACAATTTTTTCCAGTAGTTTAGAGGTGAATGGGAGTCTGGAGACAGGCCGGAAGTTGGACATGACTGAGGGGTCAAGGTTAGGTTTTTTCAGGAGGGGCTGGACAGCAGCATGTTTAAAAGTCTTTGGCACCACACCTGAGGATAAACTGCTATTCAGAATAGCGAGGATAAAAGGACCCAGGGTAGGAAAAACTTCCTTTAGCAGTCGAGGGGGGACCACATCAAAAGGGGAACCAGATGGTTTCATGCTGCACATTACCTGCTCCAGAGAGGACAGAGAGATGGGCTCAAAGTGGTCAAACACAGCCACACACTGAGAAGGGATGGACAGATCATGAGCTGGTGGAGAAATGAGTGCCCGGGTGTTTGCCACTTTTTCTAAAAAGAAATGGAGGAAGTTTTCACACAGCTCAGTTGAGGCTTCCAGAGGTGAAGGCTCACTGAGGTGTAGAACTGAGTTCAGGGTGGAGAAAATAACTCGGGGGTTGTGGGAGTTGGAGACAATTAAATCAGAAAAGAATTTACATTTGGCAGCTTTAACGGTTTTCTGATAGTGATGCCAACTCTCCCTTAACATTTGAAAAGACACCTGGAGCCTGTCCTTCCTCCACTTTCGTTCAGCTTTGCGACACTGCCGCCTAACGGCTCGCGTGACGTCATCCAGCCAGGGCTCTGATTTAAGTTTTGTTTTTCTGGTCTTAAGGGGAGCAACACGGTCCAGAACATTTAAACAGGCAGAGTTGAACTGAGAGGTTAGCTCCTCAGTGGTAAGAGACACCGAGAGCTGTTCGATCCTCTCAGAATTAAAACCTTCATTAAAACGAGCAGCAGTGAAATGGTTAATGGAACGCGTACGTGCAGGAACGCACGTCTTAGCAGTATGACAAGGGGGGGTGAAGTCAAACAATACAGGCATGTGATCTGAAAAAACATTGTCACCGATTTTCAAATTAGAAACAGACATCGCGTGTGCATCGCGTGTATACGTGCAGATTCATATAAAATGCAATTCTAATGTTTTTAAATGATGCTTTAAATAACTTCCCATTTTGTTTAGTAAATAAAAAAACAAATTACCAAAATTTAATTTAATTCAATATTTTTGTGTGGCACTACTCTGAGAAGCAGTTACCAGAAGTTTAATTCTCTTGACACAAATCCTCTCAGTTTGTCAAAACTGAGATCCTGCTGTCTGCTGCAAGAAAACTACTGACTAGAAGTACTGGTATGTACCTCAGACATCATAATTTATAAATAAATCAATTTAAATAGTTTTGTACATATTTAAAATGACTCAAAAGGAAGTGCTTTTAGTGTACACAAGTGCCAGCACCCCATTCAAAAAAAGTATTTCCTTTACAATTAAGTTTGGAATTCTTTTACAAACATCTTAATTATTTATATTTATTGAAAGTGTTTTGCATATTTGTTGTGAGGTGAACCTCTGTGCTCACTACAGTAAAATATCATTTGAGATTCAGAGATTCTTTATTGTCATTCGCACCACAAGTGGTACATGTGGTGGAACGAAATTATGTACACAGGGTCCCAGTTACGTCCAACAATAAAATGTGTAAGAAAAACAGTAATAAGATCTAAGATATAAACTAAGACTATGAACCAAGAAAAACATCAGCTAAAAATACGCTAAGCACTAATAGCATAAAAACAATCGGAATCAGAATAAACTTTATTGGCAATGCACCAAGATACAACGAGAACATGTACGTACAGTCGTCCAAAAGATGGGCGGAGTGCACGAAGCTGCGGCTATAAATAGCGCGGCCTTCTTATTCTTATTCAGAATAATATGTTGCTTATATGAGAAAAGGAAAGAAAACATGAGGAGAGATGGTATTAAAAAAAAGATCTCTCACGGCGTGTCCTAGACAGGGCACGATTTGAGGCATCAAAAAAACCTACCAAAGCAAAGCAACATAAATAGACATTATACATATAGGCCGGTGAAGACATTGAATTTTTAAGGGAAAGTCGTAGCATAGTCCAGAGTCTGAGTGCTGTCGAGTTTCGATACATCCCCACAAATTTATAGGCAGCAGACCAAGAAGTGATTTAAAGATGAACGAATGAACACAGTAACAAGCAAACAGGGGAGGGAGCTGAAAGTAGTTTTTTGTTACCTTGACCAGGTTGAGGATAATAATGGGTGAGCCAAACCGCTGCAGCATCTGGTCAAAATGGAGGGCAGCTACAGTTGCATATGGGTCTGCTTGATCCACTATGAGAAAAAAAAAGACAGGTCTGAATGTTTTTGAATATTGATAATTTATAAAAGTTAAACATGTACTATGAAAAAAAAATGTCTTGAAGGCTGTGCTGTAACTATTATTCATCACACAGTATCTGCAAATAAATCCTAGGTAGCCCAAAATGTGTTCTACAGTGAGACTTTGATAAAGAGAGTGAAAAAGAACAACCTTTAGCAACAAACAGAAAAGAGTTCAACAACAGATGATCTGAAACCTTTCCAATCTGGAATGACAACCTTAATCTTCAGATGAACTGTAGTAAGCCTCCCATAAGACAAACTACTACCCAAACTATATATTATTATTATTATATTTATATATAGATATATGCACTTTCCACTTCATGTTTGAATCTTTTTACAAAGATCCAAAGAATTCTGAGTTCAAATGGATAAAACTGAGCATCCTGGTCCAGGTTTAAAGCTGCGTAAATTCACTTCAATTTTTTTTCTATTCATTTTGCACTTCTAAAAAACATTTGTTGTTTTTTGCAGCAACACATGCTGAGCCCCTTACCTGCAGCCTGCCACAAAAATGAACAATAAGGCTGAAAATGCTGTGCTGAAAGAAATGGGTCAAACTGTTTTACGAAGTCATCTCGCTCTGTGAAAGTACAGTAAAAGTACCACAGAGAGGTACAATAAAACTAACAACAGATCGGAGGGATTTCAATTTATCACTCTCTGTCCTATACATCCATTGTCACAAGAACCTGATTTATGTTTGGACTGTTCTTGTTCTGTTGAACTCTCTAAATTGTCAAAAACAATAGCATCATGCAAACTATTAATGTCTGCTACATCCCATCCCAACCAGACTGTTTAAAGAGGTAGTTCTCCTAATTAGTATCCCCATTGTGATTCTGCATAAGTTGCCTCTAATGAATGTTTACATACCATAGTGCTTTAAGACTGCTGTAATTAAACCTTTACTTAAGAAACCTGATATATATATATATATATATATATATATATATATATGTATATACACATACATATACATACATATACATACACATACATACATACACATATATATATATATATATAAGTACTAAAATAAACTACTACTTACTACTTGTACCACTATTCTTACTTGGCAGTTTTTCACTTATCACGGGGCTTCAGGGTACAGATTCCCCACGATAAACGAGGGACTATTGTATATCTAATCTAACATTCATTAAAAAAAATCTTGGGAAAATAGTTGCCAATCAATTGTGTGAACATCTGAACCAAAATAATCTGTTTGAAGAGTTTCAGCCAGGGTTTAGAGCTCATCATAGCACAGAAACAGCACTGGTGAAAGTTACTAAAGATATTCCCATGGTCTCAGACAATTGACTTGTGTCTACACTGGTCCTGTTAGACCTCAGTGTTGCATTTGATACAGTTGATCATAATATTCTATTACAGAGACTTGAATATGATGTTGGAATTACAGGAATGGCTCTAAATTGGTTTAAATCATATTTATCTGATAGATTCCAGTTTGTAAATGTCAATAATGAATCTTCTTCATACACCAAAGTTAGTCATGGAGTCCCTCAGGGTTCAGTGCTTGGACCAATATTCTTTACTTTATATATGCTTCCATTAGGTAAAGTTATTAAACAGCATGGGATACATTTTCATTGTTATGTTGATGATACACAGTTATATTTATCCAAGAAACCCAATGAATCCAATAAGTTACTTACGGTCTTACTTACTTATAAGTTACTTAGTCTTAATGACATAAAAATCTGGATGACCCTTAATTTTCTGCTTTAAACTCAGACAAAACAGAGATTGTGGTTTTTGGACTTGGACATCTTGGGAATAAACTTTGCAGCCTTTCACTTCCTCTGGATGTCATTAATTTGGCCTACAGTTCTAATGTTAAAAATCTTTAACATTAGATTAAAGACCTAATGTTAAAGACATGTCCTGATTTTTGATCCGGACATGTCTTTTAACCCCTACATTAAAAATTTTTATTATTATTATCATAAGACATTATATTACCATTAAAAGTCACCCCTGGATTGCTCAGTAACAAAAACACATAGAAATGAACATAAACAGCATAGAATGAACATGCATCTGTTCAAATATTCCACTGATCACTGTTGGCAACAGCAATACCCAAACATCTACAAACCTTCAGAAACTACCTCTAGATAAAACCTAAAACCAATGAGAATCCAATGTTGAGAATCACTGATCTAAAGAATATTAAAATTAAACGCCTGGCATTCTTTGAAGAAATGCGTATCGCCTGCGCCTTTAACGTCAGACGTTCAGACTAAGGTCAATTTATGTTAAAAATGACGCAGTTGGAGCAGTTTTTGTCAGAGTATGAGTTGTGTGATATCTCACATGGTTTTGCATTATTAGCTGAGAATCATTCACAACAAATGCTTTTATCACAACTACCACACTAGATTTTAACCCAATAGCTATAAAAATGGCCAAGTTAAAGCTATGTTTGTGTTTTGTAAGGTCAGATAACTGTGGTGGTCATCTTGAATTGGGTTGAGTCAAAAAGTCAAGCAGTTGTACATGCCAACCTAATGATTACCTTCTAAATGTTTCATTGGAATTCTTCCACTGATCCATGAGATATTTTGCTAACAAACAGCTGATTCCATTAGTTAAGCACAAAGTTTTAAACAGATATTGTGTAATCAATCATTTAGCAAGAACATAAGTTATGGCTCAGGCTCAGTCTCAGTTAGTACCACACCAAATTTCAGCTCATTATCAATAAAATTTACAACTTTATAGCCATTTTTGAGTTTGCTAAGATCGCTTTGCTGTTGCAGCCATCTTGAATTAGATTGACTTCACAAGTTAATCAGTTGCAGTTGTACATCTAATGATTACTTTCTTAAAGTTTCATTACAATCTATAAGATATTTTCCTAATGGCGCAGACAAACTCACATACAGACGAGGGCAAAAACAGTATTATTACTGCTTCGCCTTCGGTGGCATGCGATAACCAGTGGCAAACTGTGTCAACCTTTATTTATGCAAATACACCAAGAGCAAACTAAACGGGTAGGGGGTCGGTTCAGGCAGCATTTCAGAAATGTCAGATAAGGACTGTGTTCAGGAATAAAAGTTGGAGCACAACAATAAGGTGAATGAATGATCACAGGAATCTTAGGGACACAGTGTCTATCTCAGGTAAATGTCATCCGAGGATGAATAAAAGGGCAGATCAGAGGGAGGAAAAGATTATGATTTAATAAAGGCATTGTGCACAAGTAAGCATGCAGTGTGCGGTCTCATCCACCTGAAAAACCCCATCATGTCCCTTCAGCTGTGGTTTTGTGCCTTTATTCTGCTCATAATGAAACTGGAAATGAGAACCAAGAAGGGGGTTACCCTTACCTAATTCCTTTTCAAATTTCTTAGATCTCTTTGGTACTGAATGGACCGATGAGCCCTAGTATAAAACTTGTCCTTAAGCTGATTGCAAATGCAACCTTTTACAGTTTCAAATAGGTTATTTCTAGTTCTGGTCAGTTAAATGTAAATCGCAAAGATAAATGTAATTTCTAGCTCAGTTTGCACTTAGTCTTTTTAATTATACAAAATGACATGAAATTTTATGTTAATAAAATACATTAAAATATAACATTTTAAAAAAGCATTTGATTTAGTTTAAAATGTATTATAAAACATTGGTCTTACGTCTTATTGGGGGTTTTGGCATCATGGTGGAAATGTCCTGGGACCAGTACAGCGGGACAGAGCCTCGCACCTGGACATATGAGGAGTAGCTTCCTGCTGTAAAAGACATAACTGAAGCATCATGGGCGATCTGTTCGGTCTCCACCTCGTTTGCTACATCCCCCTGAGGACAAAAAAGTTCATAAATAAACACAATAAAACCATGATCATGGGAGAATAAAGTTGTGGGTTTTTTCCAAAGTCAGGGGTGAGAACAAATCTTTGTTTAGAACAATTAAACAGAAATAACAATGTAAAAACTGTATTTTATCAGTGGCTTGGTCAGTGTGTGAAATCATGTTCTTCAGGTGATCAACATGCACTAACATTTCTCTGTGTGCTCAATAAAAACTCAATTTCAAGAGATGTTATTTTTACATTCAATCAGGCTAGTGATTGGTCACTACCTAACCTAAATAGATGCAAGATACTCTTAAAAAAACATCACCATTTTAGAAATGTGGCTTTAGAAATATCAACACTAGTGGAAGAAGTTTGGGAGGACAGTGAGTTCTTCTAAATCTGAAGTCACAGTTATTTGCCATCCCTCTGGGTTAGGGTTGTGGTTTTGTCTCCAATAGAAAAATTCAAGTATCTGAGTCTTGTTCATAGATGTATTAATGGATTGGGGCTTCATCTGCAGTAATGAAGGTGTTGCTCTGGTTCACTGTGGTGAAAAAGGAGCTGAGCCCAAAGACAAAGCTATCAATTTACTTTGCCTGCATTTCAACCCTCACCTTAGTTGTAATGAAATATATATTATGACCAAAAGTATCCTGAAGCTGCTGAAATGAGCTTCCTTTACAGGGAGGCCAGTCTCAGCCAGAACTTAGATTAGAGCTGTTGACTCTTCAACATCAAAAGGAGTTCACTGAGGTGGTCTGGGAAACTGATTAGGATGTCTCTTAGGAGCCTCACTCTGGAGATTTTCCAGGCTTTTCACATAGAGCGGAGAAGACCCTGAACTCACTGAAAGGACTTTCAATCCCTACTGGCCAAGAGACACCTTGTGATCCCCAGGAGGAACTGGAGAGTGTTGCTAAAAAGAGGGATGTTGGTTTATATTTGACCTATGCCACACCTTATCAAATAAAATAAAGAAAATTGTTATTTGGATCAATAAATTGGAGTGTGGTTTGCAATCATGAAGGCATCAGTTCTATCAGTTGTGGTAAAGAAGCAGCTAAGCTTCTAAGATTCTAAGCTAAGATTCTGGCAGATCCTGATCACCCGCTCTATGGTGAGTTCAGGTTGATTCCATCTGGACGCAGGTATCTGCAGTCCATATGTAGGACGAACAGACTGAAAAACTCATTCATCCCTGTAGCGATCAGGCTTCTCAATGAACAGTGATGATGTCTGTATGTTATTTTAATGTCTCAATGTCTTGTTTAGTATGGATGTTTTATGTGCCTAATGACTGTGAAACAAATTGCCCCTTGGGGATAATAAAGATTCTTGAACTTAAACTTGCAGCTAAAAAGCAAAGCTATTAATTTACTGACCCATCTTCACTCCAACCCTCACCTAAAGTTATTACTTATGGATTATGACCAGAAAGACTATGATGGAGCTTTAGGGCCACGCTAAGAAAGAAAAAAAAATTACATTGCCAGGCTAAGAAAAAGAATAATTAAAAGCCATAAAACTATGAGAATAAAGTCGTAGTATTTCGAGAATAAAGTCGTACGAGACTTCTTTTTTTTTTTACAGCTCTCGTTAATTTTTTTATTTTATTTTCCATGAGTCGGATCCACGACGCGACCTGTCATTCAATCCAATAGACATGTCAGCAAATGACCAATCCGAAGCTAAATTGAAAAAAGTGAAGTAAAGTGAATTGAGTCGCTGGGTCTCTTCAGCCTCTTTCTGGCATATTTATTGAAGACCCCTAACAGCGCTGCACGCACACAGTTTCATTCACTGAGCGCCGTTTTCAAACGGAAACAAAAACGAAAGTCATGACGTAATGATGTCACGCAGCCCAGAAGCAGCATACAAAAACACAACAGTAGGTGGAAGTATTGGAACATGTTTTGAGTTAGAGCGTCAATAACAACACAGTTTAACAAACATTCTTCATTTTACCACAGTTAAAATGCAGTAAACCTGCTTTATCGTGTCGGAGTTTGGATAATGTTACGACTCATTTAGCTTCGGATTGGTCATTTGCTGACACGCCTACTGGACTGATTCACAGGTCATGTCGTGGATCCAACTCGTGGGAATTTTTTTTTTTTTAAATTAACAACAGCTGTAAAAAAAAAAGTATTCTCGTAATACTACGACTTTATTCTTGTAATTTTATGGTTTAATTTTTTTTTCTTAGCGTGGCCCTAAAGCTCCATCGTAAAAGACAGACAAATACTTTATGGAAGTATGATAATGAAAAAATATAGATTTTTTTTTTTTTTACTTTCCACATCTGTCTTTGAAATAAAATAATGTTTATGATAATTACACATTGCCTCTTCATCTTTGTTACGCTACACTCAGCATCCCAACTTCCATAAAACTGGAACATACGACGACTCAATTTAGCTTCCAAATATGTTAAAAAGACTAAACATGAAAGCCAAAGTTGTACTTACAAATATGTGTCTTTGATCAACTTGACTAGATTAAAACTCTGCCACAATGTGGGACAGGATAGCTTTCTAACATGTCTTGAAAAGTTGGCTTTCCAATTTTGAACAAAAACACTTTATCTGCAAATAATAGCAGTAAAATTGCTTAATCTAATCCCTTTTTCAGCATAGCTGTCCAAAATGAAGGAAACCTATATTTCCTCCAGAAGTTCCTTCCTCCTCCCAGCCTACACTCATGCTGACACTCATGCATACTAAAGAAAAAGAGCCCGTGGATCAAATTAACCCCCCCGTGCTCAACCTGAGTCATCACAATCACCCTGATGGCCCTCAGCTCTGCCTCTACTATCTATTGTCCTTGTTGCCCGAGCAACTGTCGTACCTCACAGTTGGCACCTCTTTTCAGGAAGCGGGTCCCTGCAAATCTGCTGGAGCGCCTGGCAATGAGGGTGATGTGAACTGGTCGACCGTAGATCAGTAGTTCTGGTGTTGGTGGGTAAAGGAAGCATAATAATGCAACAGCCATGTTGTAAATAACACAAGCACATACAAATACTACACTAACTAAAATAAATGGAAATTAAACTTGACAGTGACATTCTGCAACACTGAACTGCTTTTTAAGTGCATACACTTCATCTCCCATAAGGTTGTTCTGTTTAACCCATCTGCGCTATCTGAGCCTCTCAGAGGACTACAACAACAGTAATGAAGCAAAAAAGTTTCTAGGAATTGTCTCAACTCATCCCCACACCGTCACAGTGCTGAGCTGTACAGTAAAATACTCCTTAGCCTGATGCATTTTACTGTAAATGCATAAATACTGGCCAAATAAAAACCGAATAGCTCCTGTAGGATTATTTAATATTTGAAAATAGATCATTGCCAACCTTATAGGAAAAAGGTAGCATAGTGTAAACTGCCTAATGTGATTTGTGCTAATGAGACATGATGGTAAATGACTTCAAACTGAACCTTAAGCCTAAGGCAGAGTTTTCTCCTCATAAATTTGAAGATTTACTCTCTAGAAGTAAAGCATGCATCAATCTAACAAAGACCTTTGCAAAACTCCAGAGGAAATAATTCATGTAGCCTCAGTTCAGTGGCATAAACATCAAATTAAAAGCTGCAGAAGAACGATTTTAAAGTTAATAAAACTTATAGTAAAGCACAAGCTTTGCCTTCATTCGCATATCCACAAAAATAAACATGCAGAATTAATCAAATAGAACAGATGGATAGATTAAGTAATTACTAGTGTCTTTACAACAAATTCATTTAGCTAAAGCCTTTAAAAAAAATAAAAGCAGTTTTTGTTTACCCCACTCTGGACATCGAACACATCTCAACCTGTTAAGGTGAGACTAAAAGAAGAAAAGACTGCAATAAAACAAATTACAGCTCCTTCATTGGATGTTGCATCCAAAGAAAGACTTTAATTAGGCATGGTTTTTAAAGGTTTCTCTCAAAACTCATGGCAACAAGTGGATCATGCAGACTAACAAAAACAACAACAGACGAATGAAAACAAAGCGCCAGCCACACTTGCAGTGAAACACATTAGACCTGTCAGTGCTTGAAGGATACTGGACTGACCACAAAAGCCGTGGATTATGTACATGAGCCAGTCAGGATGCACAATGTCCTTGACTCGCTCCAGGAGCTTCCCGTTCCACACGTACTTGTAATACGGCTCAGTTTGGAGGCCATAAACCACTGTGGTGGAAAAATAACAGACACACATGAAAGCTGTGGATAATTTTACTCACCTAGGATGAGTTCAAAAGATCAGGTAGAGAGAAGCAAATATAAGAAAAAAACATGACAAAAATAATGGAGTGTATTTAGAAACTCTTGTGATAAATACATGTAGTTACATCAAGGATTTGTTACATTAGACTGTAAAAGTCATAAAGTCATTGGTCAAGGCAATTAAAGGGATTTAAAAAGTGGCTTATCAAAATAAAAACACAGACTTGCTAAAGACTAGACAGCTTCTAAAGGCGGCAAACGCAACACCGTGCAAAAGTTTTGAGTCACTTCTCAATTCTTCTACATTTTCCTTTTAAAAAGCTACTTTTTTAATGGTCTTCAGCAATATTTCTTTAATTTTTTATTAGGTTTTCTGAAGGTCTGTTAAAGTTTAGTTTCCAAAGAAATAATGATAAACTGGAAATCAACTGGCCATATTAACTGAAGGGGAAAAACGACAATAGCTTGATGGCAAAGTAGCAAACACAATTCTTATGCAACTGTCAATAAAGAGACCGCTAAAGCTTGTTTACTTAAAATAGTTAAAATGTGCTCAGTTGGTGTGCATCCATTTTTAGACCCTTTCACTTCTTTCAGCTTCATTGTGCAAATTTTTAAAAAATTTCAGCTACTTTCAGCTGTTTTGTGCTTCATATAGATTCTTTCTTCTAACTACAACACTTTTGTGCTTCTTCTAACTTCTTTCTAATAATTTCATCTGGTTATGCTCCTTTCTGCTTATTTCGGTTATTTCAGCTACTATTACCCTCACCACGATAGTCGCTAAAAGCTTCAAAAAACTGGTCATGACCCACATCAAAACAACCATCAACATCAACGAGGACCCTCATCAGTATGCATACCGTGAGAACCGATCAACAGAGGATGCAATCTCCTCTGTGGTCCACACTGCGCTCAACCACCTGGAGCAGAAAAACTCTTACGTCCGTATGCTCTTTGTGGACTTCACATCCGCCTTCAACACCATGATCCCCCAAACCCTGATGGACAAACTATCCACACTAGGACTAAGCCCCTAAATTTGCAACTGGGTACTAGACTTTTTAACAAACAGACCACAGTCAGTGAGGATCCACAACTTCTCCTCCTCCACCATAACCCTCAGCACTGGCTCTCCTCAGGGATGTGTGTTGAGCCCCCTCCTGTTTACTCTGCTCACGTATGATTGTGCAGCTACCCATCCAGGCTGTCACATTGTAAAGTTTGCAGATGATACAGAGGTGGTGGGATGCATCACAAACAATGATGAGTCCAGCTACAGGCAAGAAGTGGAACACCTGGAGAACTGGTGCAAAGAGAATAACCTTCACATCAACGTGAAGACGACAAAAGGAGATGAATGTGGACTTCAGAAAGAACAAAAACATCCACACTCCCCTGAACATAAGAGGATCTGCGGTGGAAGTGGTCTCCAGCTACAAGTACTTGGGTGTACACATGAATGACAACCTCAGCTGGAGCAACACCACAACCAGCCTGATCAAGAAAGCTCATCAGAGACTCTACTTCCTCAGGCGGCTGAGGCGAGCTGGTCTGGGAAGCTCAGTCCTCACCTCCTTCTACAGGTGTGCAGTGGAAAGCATCCTGTGCTCCAGCATCAACGTGTGGCATGGAGGCTGCACAGCTGCAGAAAGAAAAGCTTTGCAGAGAGTGGTGAAGGCTGCACAGAAGTCTGTCGGAGTCAGCCTCCCCACCATCACAGACATCTACACCTCCAGATGCAGGAAGAGGGCCACCTGCATCATGAAGGACCTCACTCACCCAGCACACACACTTTTTGCCCCACTCCCCTCAGGAAGGAGGTTGAGAAGCATTAAGTGTAGAACCACTATGCTGGTGAAGATTCTCAGTCATCCAGGACATGATGAATTCAAAAAACGTTCAATACAAAAACAACTGGACTTTATTTGTAACAGAAATTTGTTCTGTTACAAATAAAGTCCAGTTGTTTTTGTATTGAACGTTTTTTGTAGAACCACTAGACTGAGGAACAGCTTCTACCCTGAGGCTGTTAGACTCATGAATCTCTAACTAGAATAATCACTGTGAAAAATCACATCATGTTGCTGCTGATCTGTTTCATGTTGCTGCTGATCTGTTTCAATGTTGATGTGTTCATGCGTGCTCATCCGCACACACAGACTCATGTTCATGTTTGTGCTGATGTTCAATGTTTTATGTTATGAGTGCTTAGTGTATATTTAGTTGATGTTTTTCTTAGTTCATATCTTAGATCTTATTACTGTTTTTCTTATACATTTTATTGTTGGATGTAACTGGGACCCTGTGTACATAATTTCGCTCCACCACATGTACCACATGAGGTGCGAATGACAATAAAGAATCTCTGACTCTGACTCTCTCAATTTAGCTGTTTTTATGCAACTTTAAGCTTTTTCAGCCAATTCTTCATTTGTTGCACTCATTAAAAAAAAATCTGCCTAATTCAGCAATAATGTGCTCTCCCCACTTCCTTTTTGTAATTTAAGCTTGTTTCTGCCTTTTTAGCCATATTTCAGATGTTTTCTTGCCAACTTCTGCTTTTTTCAGATAATTTCCACTTTTTTTGTGCTCATTTCTGCTGCTTTCAGCAAACATATGTTCTTTCTACTTTCTTCTGCTAATTTAAGCTTGTTCTACATTTTCAGCTACCTTTTTTTAGCATTTTATAGCTAATTTTAGCTGTTTTCAGATTAATTCAACTTTTTCATGGAAATTTCTGCTACTTTCAGCCTAATTAACTCATTTCTGCTAATTTCAGCTTGTTATTCTTATTTCAACTTTTCATGCTAGCTTCAGCTTTTTCTGCTATTTCAGCTACTATTTACAGTAGGTGTTTTGTGCTAAACTTAGCTTTTTCAGCTAATTCTACAGTTTTTAGCTTATTACAGCTTCTTCCACTTCTTTCTAGTAGTTTAAGCTTCTTTTTGCTTTTTCAGCTACTTTACAGCCATTTTTTTTTTCAAATTTCAGCTTATTTCCTAATTTTTTTTGCGCTCATTTCTGCTTATTTAAACCTAATTCAGCCAATATATGTTCTTTCTACTTCTTCTAACTTAGGCTTGTTCTTCCATTACAGCATGTTTTTAGCTAATTTCAGCTGTTTTTCAGCAAGCTCTTCAGCAATAAGCAATCATTTTCACAGGAAATGCAATTTCTCTATTTTCAGTTGGTTTGTTCATTTTGGTTCAGCTTTTCTTCTTTCTTTCAGCCTCTCGTCCATTCCAACTGGCTTTCTTGTCCTCTCCTTTCTGTTTTCGTCCCTGCAGCCACTGCAGCAGCCTGGCTTTCAGTTAAAAACTGAAGTGTCTCTGATGACGTCCTCAATTATAGAAACTCAAGTCACGCTGACAAACTCCTGCTCACCTTGAGTAGGCACACCTTCATCTTCGAAGATGTCGAAGCAGTCCTGCTTGGTCTGAGCGTGCACCTCTGCCTCAGCAGGAGTAGCTGCTGACGACCACAGTTCATAGGGTCTCTGCAGCGATGTCAGGTTGTACTGCAGCGAGTGGCTCAGGTCGTAGCTGTAGCTGCAGGGCAGAAAGGCAATGTGACAAGTACTGGCTGTTCTGCCCTGAAATTCACCTGCAGATTGTCACTGTTACAGAGTTTGAAGCTATTTTGCTACAAGTACAACAAAACATACCAAATGTTGCTCAAATTAAAAGAAAACTGAACCCCTAAAAAAAAAACGCTAACCATGGTCAGAATAGATAACGATTTCTGCAAATGATGCAATCGATAGAAGCGATTTATGGTAAAAAAAAAAATAAAAATTTAAAAGCTTTCATTGTTTTAATACTATGCAAAGGATCATGAAACAACTGTGAAAATATCTACAAATATCTCATCAAGTCTTTGGTGCATACTACTTCTAGATGATGTACATGATGATAAAGGGAATGTTAGTTCGATGAAAAACATAAAGACAAAAATTTTAAAGTGTTTGGCCTCAACTGAGCTGAGTCACATTCAGGATTGGATCAGCTACGTATGTTCAGCATAGTGTTATGTGCCCAAAGGTTAAAAAAAATAAAAAATCTTACAATTTCTTGTTTATATTTGTACCATACATCACTTTTTTTTTTAAATTGAATTGAATATTTTGTAGTACATTTCACCAATACTGCATATTTTAAAGTTTATCTCTGTGGCTGGATCTGAAAAGTTACTTGCGCTTTGACACAATTCATAAATTTAATGAAAATTAAGCGGTTTGTAAGTCTACTTGAAATCTGATCAGCCAATCAATCAATCTTCCAGAATATAATCAATAAATCCTCTAGCATATAATAAATAAAATGACTGCATCCTTCAGTCACTGAGAATTTTATTTTGTCTTACCTAAAGTAGAAGTTGCTTGAAAGGTCCACATTCTGGAAAATCCGCACATATCTGTAGTAACATAACTCAGTCAGTCATTACACAACTAATAAGTGTCAAAGAAGAAAAATATAATTAGGACTGTATGAGAAAATAAACACCAGTGGTTCATTTTTATCTTGTACATATACTGTGCTCACTACTATCGTATGGTGTCATACACAGTACTGGGCAAAACTAATGTCTTCCCTAATATCTGAACTTTTCTTAAGCAAAAAGGTTTTCTTGTAGTTCTTTTAAAATTGGTTATACGCAAAAGTTCTACAGTCTTTCTTAAGCCCACCTGAGTTCTGAGATGATTTTTGACACATTTTAAACTAGAGCACGACCGATATATTGGTATATCGAGGTTTATAGCTCATAACCTCTATTGACCACAAAATATTGAATTACAGTAGTCCCTTGCTACTTCGCGGCTTTTCAAAATAAGATTGGGACATGACACACAACTGGCTGATTGATGGATGAGCCACATGATCGGCATGGAATTTTTATTTTAAATAAATTATTTTAAATTATTTAGCGCCTGCTGCACTGGTCTGTGTGCAGCCCACAGCTGCAGACAAAGCTCCCTCCTGCAGCATGTCATATATCTGAGCTGCAGCCGAGAAGTGGGCGTGGCCAAAAGCGCTGGCGGATAGAGCGCAGCCGGAGGCAGAGAGCTGAAATCATGACATTCTGTGCTCTTTTAGAGCATTTAGAGCAGGGGTCACCAACCTTTTTGAGACTGAGAGCTACTTCAGTGGGACCGAGAAACACGAAGGGCTACTTGTTTGATCCAAAGAAATTTGCACAGCTCACCTTTAATTTTAGTATTAATAATATTAATATATTTACATACATGTGAATATATGACAAAAACAAAGGAGACATAATGGATGGTTTACTACAGCAGAAAACTGATATTTAAACATAAACTACCATTTTTCAAGACCGCATCTGAAAATGCCTCATGAAAATCGTCTGTCTGCTCAAGGTACGGGTACGGATCCCCCGTGATAAACGAGGGACTGCTGTATATTATTATAAAAAAAGAAATGTGATGGTGGAGAGAGACAGACAATACCTTGCTTCATCAGGGTGTGTAACTCGGACAGAGTCGTTGGGAATGTAGATCATGGTGGTGTCTTCAACTTTATAAATAGAGTGGCCCCCGATGTCGGCCATTTTTCTGTGTTTGGTGATCAAGACAATGTAGTACCCCTCCAGGAAACGTACAAACCCTGTATTTTTAATTTAAAAAAAAAAAAACACAAATTAATGACTAATCTCTTGCAAATACCTTTTAAAAAGTGCATAACATTCCACTTTGCTGCAGATAGAACAACTTATTTGATGCACTAAATTTACTAAAAGAAGTTTGTAGGTCAACTATTTTTGTTTCTTGCCAATCATCTACAGCTTTGACAGGATAGAAACAAGTAACATTATTTGCAGGAGTTCATCATGAGTTTCTGAGTCACTCCTGATGAATTCAACTCATTTGTGCTTTCATAATTAAAATATGACCCAGACAGTTTCATACACCACGATTAATTATTTGCTTTCAGCTTTGGAAGAGCTCTCTTTTTTAAATCTGCAACGTCTAATGCACAACATGAAACGATGGCTGTATAATTTTAGAAATGTCTCATCAAGGGCAAAGAAAGCATCATAAAAGAATTATTCACCTGTTTAAAAATATCTTACTCTACTGCCCACTCATAATAGGTATTCATTTTGGGGTGATGACCTTTATAAGACATTTAAAACGTTTCTTTTTACAAAAATTTTTATTTCAAGCCTTTAAAAAAATGTATGATGGTTTTATGCAAGTTGTTGTCTCCAACATTTTAGAGCAAATATGATTTGCTGACCATTATCGTAAGAATAAAACTCTAAATCTACATGTGGTGTTGCTAACTGTTTGTTTTGGTTCATGATGTTTCTTTTTGCAAAGCATGGGTCAGAAGGACAAAACTGATAAACAAATTTGACTAAAAAGAAACAAAAAAGTGGTCATCTACAATTTCAGCTCCTCCGACTGAAGAAGTCTTTTGGATAAAAGACTGGGACAAGCAGAAGGGCAGCACATGGGCCAGAACTAAAAAAGTTGACATAATGGGCAAATAATTTACAATTGACCATATTCAATTCAATTCAATCCAGTTTATTCATATAATGCCAAGTCACAACAGAAGTAATCTCAGGGCACTGAACAGAAACATGTATACTATGTAAAAATAATAAGTTAATAACATTAATTATCTGAGGAGCAGACTGCGTGAAGTTCAACTTCATCGCAGACTCTCATCTTGAGCGAGCATGAAGGCGACAGTGGAAAGGAAAAACTCCCTCATGGGGAAGAAACCTTTAGCAGAACCAGGCTCAGGACAAGTGGCCATCTGCTTCAACCGGCTGGGTTTGGTAGGAACAGAAACACAATGGCAGGTCGAGAATCACATGTTAAGATAGAAACAGTATCAAATGAAAACTATTCAATTTTAACAATTCATTTAAGGAAATGAGGTCAATTTGTCCTCCAGTAGTCTAAGCTCAAGGCAGCATAACAAGCCAACCCTAACTATAGGATTTATCAAAAAAAGAAAGTCTTAATCCCAGTCTCATAACTGGACTATGTGTCAGCCTTGTGGACAAAAACTGGAAGTTGGTTCCCCAAGAGAGGAGCCTATATACGTCTAGATATATGTTAGAATAAGATATGTACTATAAGATGGAGCTAGGTTGTTGAGGGCTTTGTAGGTTAGAAGTAAGATTTTGAATTCTACCATATCAATAATAAAGTATACCATCTGACCTTTTTCCAACTGTTAATCTCACACAGTCAGTACAGGATAATAAAAGTCAAAACAAACGGACTTTAAAAAAAAAAGAATGCGTATCCTAGGATTGTTTTGAATAAATAATGAACACTGAAGGATACTCCCCTCTTCAATACGCTGTCCCATGCAATCAATATTCGTCACTGTGAATAACTACACAATTAAAATGATACACACATTTTTAGTCAGATATATACACCATCCTATACCGGTCTATTTGTTAGTTGTTGTTATTTTTTTCTACATAGGAAAAATGATGTGCAAGACAGTTGGATTGATCTCTAAACGATAAAATGGAATTGCATATAATTTTGTTGTATTTTAAGTGTAATGACAATGTTGACACTGATTGTTTTGTCCATTAATAGTTTTCTTCTTAAGGAATATAAAGGTCAAATCTAACAGTTGTGTTAACATTTTCTGTATCATGCTCAAACATCTCCATGAGCCTCCCAATCATTTTCTCACAGATCATTCAAAGGTGTCCTCTTTATGCAACATCATCAGACCAGTAGTATCTTTCAGATAACCTTTAATGACAATAAGTCGACTTATATAACCGTTCATTCATTTACACCACAAAGCAAGAAATATAAGTTATAAAGTCAAGTTTATTCAATGCTAACCTTATGATAGATTCAGTGCCGTTTTTCTTCTGAAACAAGTACTTTATTACTTTATCAACTCTGAATACTTGTTAATGCCTGTTGGCTGGTTTCATTCATTTTCACCATTTTCCTGTTTCTGATACACAAACGCTGTGCGCACAAAAGAGAATTGTTCCAGACGGGGTGGAGAATGTGCCGTCTGCTTTTGGAGCATTAAGATAGTGTAAGAGACACTCTCAGTGACCGAGTTGAGAATGGCTAAAAGAGTTGAGGATTTTTTATTTTTTTGCCATATGCAGTTTACAACATTGCATGAGAAACAATCCATTTATCGCCCATCAAAGTATCAAAATCTTTGTCTGCTTCGGTGTGGGAAGCTCATGCGTAGCCTGAATAATATGTTCAATTAAATATCTGAAATACGCAATAATTTTGTACTTTTGAATCAAACTCAAAGAGAAATAAACAGTATTATCTTCAGTTTTGCAATGCCAAATAAAAAAAAAAGTCTTCTAATGGTAAAGAAACAACACAGGAGTCCTACTGCAGTCATTGCAAGAACTTTTGAAAACAATGTTTTTACTTTGTGCACTCTATTGTGATCCCTTCTTCTTCCGTACGCTTTTCAGCATCTTTCTCATTCCACAATTTTTGTGCTATTTCAACAATTCATATATCAAAACGTTCAGCTCATTAAGGAGAAGAGTGCTATGACTTTTGGTATTGGTGCAACTTTAGCTTTTTGACATATTTAACCTTTTTCTGAACTTTTTCCTCATAGAAAATGAATTGAGCTCATTTTACATCCTTCACATCATTACATCTGTTTACAACCTTTTACTGCTCCTTTCACAGTTTGTTCTAGTTCAGCTTTTTTCAGCTTCCTTGTGAAAATTTAAACATTTTCTCAGCTACTTCAAGATGTTCTTTCAGCTGTTTTGTGCTCCTTATATATTATTTCTGCTAACTACAACATTGCTGTGCTTCTCACTTATTTCTGCTGATTTTAGCTTGTTATGCTCCTTTCAGCTTATTTCTGCAAGTTTCAGTTTTTCTGCCATTTCAGCTACTTTCAGCTGTTTTATGCTAATTTTAGCTTTTTGAGCTAATTCCACTTTTTTTGCACTCATTTCAATTTTTCTCATCCTAATTCAGCAAAAATGTGCACTCTCCACTTCCTTCTGGTAATTTAAGCTTCTTTTAGAAAATAGCTGCTTTTCAGCAGTTTTTTACCAATTACAGCATTTTTCAGATAATATCCACTTTTTAGCGCTCATTTCTGCTTCTTTCAGTATAACTGGGTAAACATCTGTTCTTTCTGCTTTCTTCTGCTAATTTAAGCTTGCTCTACCTTTTCAGCTACTTTTTAAGCATTTTAGCATTTTTCAGCTAATTTCAGCTGTTTTCTGATAAATTCAAGTTATTATGGGTAATATCTGATATTTTCAGCATAATTAACCTCTTTCTGCTAATTTCGGCTCCTTCCAGTTTCTTTCTGCTAGTTTCAGATTTTTTTGCTATTTCACCTACTTTTTAGCTGTTTTGTGCTAAATTTTGATTTTTCAACTAATATCCACTTTTTAAGCTCATTTAATCTCCTTCTACTTCCTCCTGGTAGTTTAAGTTTTGTTCTGAGTTTTCAACTATTTCTTTGCCAATTTCGGCTGTTTTTCAGCAAGTTCTTCAGCAATAAGCATCCACGCTGCATTTGCGCAAGAAATTCAATTTCTCTATTTTTATTTTGTTCCACAGTGGATGATTTGAGCCCTGATGGTGCACTGCATGTGTGAAATTCTCAATACTGTCACACTAAAGACTTCATATAACAAAAGGAGGCTAGAGAAGCGAATCATGTGATCTGTTACACAAACCTCTCATGTAAGGTTTCCTTTTTGAATTTAGATGAAGAGAACAAGCTCATTTGTTAAAATTAGGGTGACCTAAGTTCGATCTTTGGATCAACAGAGAAAAAGGATTGTAAGAGCTAAATAATTTTTTTTAAAGCCCACAAGATTGTAATGGGCTGTAACTAGGTCTGCAGGCTCATATCCAACACACAACCACAGGGGGAAAAAAATATTTTAATATTGTTTAAAATGAAAGAATGCCTGACTCATAACAGCATTCAGAATTTTCTCACTGAAACGTAACTTTTCAAGGTTTTTTTTATTTTTTTATTTACAGTGTGTTGCTTCTTTTAAATATGTTTTCAACAATTGGACTGATGATTAAACGATCTTTGGGTGATATAATAAAATAGGTCATTTCAAACTATAACGGTATAAAAAGTACACAAAGAAAAAAAGATCCTTGACAACTAAAGAAAAAAATTATATAAATCTAACATGAGATAAATTAAGAACAACTTAGATTGTCCTTTCATTAACAGTAACGTGAGTATATATTTCCTCTGTCCGTCTGTTAGCAAAATATTTCATGAACTCCTGGATCTATTTTAATGAAACTTTCAGAAAGTAAATAATGGATGTACATCTACATCTGATTAACCTTTGGAATCAACCTAATTCAAGATGTCCACCACAACTAATTAACCTTAAGAAACCAAACATTCCTATAACTCACAGAATTTCAACTAAAATCTGGTGTGGTAGTCGCTTACACTCACTCTTAACTCATACACTGAGCACTAGGACATCTCACAAAGTCACACAGAAACACTATGTCTTTAATTATTATTTTTTTCCCATTATCTTTTTTATTTGAAAAAGGCAACTTCACTTAATAAGTTTATAGTTGCTATGTAAAATGTGTCATACATGACCTTGACTTGTACTGATCTGTCTTTATATTTGTTGCCGGTGTGCGATTACACTGACCAGGAAAAGCTCCGTTTCATTTTATATTTCACTTAAATATAGCTGAAATGACAAAGAACTGCAATGTTTCCAGGCATTATAGATAAATTAAACGGCAAAAATGACCAGTGCTGACCACCTGCCATTGTCCAAAATATTACATGAAAACACTGGTGTAGACAAAAAAGATTTGCAAATTGTGAATCCCTATACTCGCCATTCATGGTTTTATGGCTTCTGTACATCATCTGCAACACGTCAATATTTGGAGAATAAAGAAACTTTATCTGCCACAAAATGATCAAAGCTGCGACACCACAAGTGTTTATGAAACTTGTGGTCTAAATGTTAAGTTCTTGCAGTTGTTCAGGCCATTGACCGCTTCCCCATTGATAAGTATGACTTGAGTCGGTTCTCATCTTATTAGTTCTACTTAGACCTGTCACAATAATAAATTTTGCTGGGTGATTAATTGTCGCAGAAATTATTGCGATAGACAATAATACTGTTTAAAATTTGACAATCATTAGTAATTATTGTGGGCAGCACGGTGGCGCAACTGGTAGAGCTGCTGCCTCTCAGCGTGCAGATCCTTGGTTCAAACCCCGGTCCAGGGGCCTTTCTGGGTGGAGTTTGCATGTTCTCTCCGTGCATGCGTGGGTTTTCTCCGGGTGCTCCGGTTTCCTCCCACAGACCAAAAACATGCATGTTAGGCTGACTGGTAACTCTAAATTGTCCCTAGGTGTGAGTGAGAGAGTGAATGGTTGTTTGTCTCGTTTGTCTCTATGTGGCCCTGTGATGGACTTGCGACCCGTCCACTCCAGGGTGTACCCCGCCCCTCGCACAGTGACTGCTGGACATGGGCACCGGCGACCCCCGTGACCCAAAATGGAATAAACGGGTAAAGAAAATGGATGGATGGATAGTAATTATTGTCAAATTAAAAAAAAAATGTTGGTTCATTTTTGTGTGTAGTACCTTTGTTTGACCACTGGATGGCAGTATAAGATTGTTTGAACTGAAGGATGGATAGTAAGGGAGCAAACAGTGTCTCTTTAAGAAAAATGGAAGGGAGGCCCCTTGACGTGACATGTCTCTCGTTCCTGTTTTTCGGTTCTCAAAATGGCGGACGCTCGGTGTGGTTTGAGCTCTTTAGCATAGCATTTGTCACACAAAGCTTTTAATTTAAAAAAAAAATCAGTAAACAAGTTCTCAGCTTCTTTTTCTCAGAGAAAAGCAACTTTTTAGATGAAGGCATGGGTTTCAACCATGAATTTTGGAGCTTCGACAAGACAGAGGTTCAGTTCATTTAGAAACATGAAAAAGATGGTCCCTTAAACTGGGCTGAGTGGGAATGGGCACCGGCAAATGGAAAACCTTAACTAGTGGTGCAGAACCAAAGAGTGTTTAGTCTGTAGGTTAGCACAGTTTGTGCCAGTGCAAGCTGAACTTACCCACAATGCCATAGGCAGTGACAGCCCTGGACAAGCCAGAGGAACCCTTCTGGCCAATTTTGGTGCGGTTGCCGAGGTCCAGACGGCCCAGCAACTCGCACACCTCTTGCTGGTTGTACACATGCTATGGAGACAAGACAGAAGTATTGTACAGCCTGAATACAACACTTGTAGCAGCTGTTTTATGACTTTCTATTAGTTTGTCTTTAGGAAAAAAAATACCGTTTGGTGACATTGAGATCAAGTGGCAGAATAATCCACTGTAAATTAATAAGTGTTTTACCAACAGCAATGATGGAGAGCTTGAGTTTATTGTTGTTGTTTTAACTAAGTAGGATTCAAGTATCTTTATTGTCATTCACATCACATGTAGTTCAAGAGGTGGAACTAAATTGTGTCCTCAAGGTCCCAGTTACATCCAAAAATAGCAAAAATATTAATATAAAAAGAAAGAGAATATAAGGAGCTATGATATGCGCTAAACGATATGCTAAAGGATCTAATATATATGCTAAAACTAATAATGTAAAATATTATGGTATATGAAACAGCAGCCTGAACACGCGTCTGTAGTGAGTAAATGGATATGAATGAATACAGCAGCATGACATAGCAGCATGAGATCAGCAGCATGGATAATCAGCAGCACAAATAAGTCACAAATCATCAACTAAAGTGGCATTACAGTGATTTTCTTTCATTTTTTTTCCTTACAGTGGTTATTCTGGTTAGGGATTTATAAGTCTAACAGATTCAGGGTAGAAGCTGTTCCTCAGTCTAGCACTTAATGCTCCTTAACCTCCTGCCTGAGGGAAGCAGAGCAAAAAGTGTGTGTGCTGGGTGAGTGGGGTCCTTCGTGATGCAGGTAGCCCTCTTCCTGCATCTGGAGGTGTAGATGTCTGTGATGGTGGGGAGGCTAAATCCATCAGTCTTCTGTGCAGCCTTCACCACTCTCTGCAGAGCTTTCCTTTCTGCAGCTCTAGATATATCCATATATCCAGGATATATCCACTGTAGCTGCATCTTAACCATGTTCTACTGAAGATAAAAAATAAATTCAATACCTAGCAGATTTTTGTTGTTACGTTTTGCTTGTTTCCTATACTGTATATGAAGAACAGGACAAACTCCAACCTATATCCAGTACATGTCAAAAATGTTTATATTTAAAACATGGATGCACTTGCACAGAAAGGTTCAGATTAAACTTCAGGCAAGTTTTAAATACTTACAAGAGGTTTTAGCATTTGTTTAGCGTTTGTTTAGTGTATAATATAAATCTTAGATCCTTATATACCGTTTCTTTTTATACTTTACAATTTTGCTATTTTGGGGTGTAACTGGGACTCTGAGTACATAATTTCATTCCACCTCATGTACCACATGTGATATGAATGACAATAAAGATACGTGTACTTGAATAAAACAGGATGTATTATTTACAAATTCAGATACTTG